GAGAGAGAGAGAGAGAGAGAGCAGTTAGACCACTACACCTCACGATGATGGAGTGGACGGACAATACGGACCTCAAGGTACTGCAGCGATTTGAAGCGGGAGAGATTGACCATGGTCTTGCATTCCAACTGGCCTGGCCGTCTGGACTCCAACTACGTTGAGACAAAGTGGTCATGTTGGTCAGCACACGCACATTATGGGACGATCATCAACCGAACACGAGCAATGGCAGAGAGGCCTCTAGAGACGACTCACCCTAACGCTGGGGATCTCTTCGAGCAGCATGGACAAGCGACTCATCGTATCACGGTAGGCAGCGCCTTTGGCCGTCTGAGATAGCGCAGTGATACGCTTGCCTACATCGCGCACACACCAGGTTTAAGCTCAGCTCACTTGCGTGCGTGCGTAGGCCACAGAAGAGGGGAGCATGCCGTGCGGGGGCGACCGTACCGATCTGGCGAAACTCGTGCAGCGCATCGTTCAAGATCTCGAGAGAAGATGGATTGAGCGGCAGCACCATCCCACCCTCTCGTAGTTTTGCCTCTGCGCGGGTGTCGACACAAGTGAGCGGTGGCCGACATCATCATCAGTGTTTAGAATGGACGTACCATTTTCTTTTACAAATTGGAAGAATCGGGCTATGAATTCGCCGTTAGAGTTCATCCCCTCAGAGCTAGGCCAGCAGTGGGCCTCTCCTACTGTGGCGAAACCGGTTCTTCTCTTTCTTCACACTGTCGGGGTCAATAGGCAGTTCAATTTCTCCTCATTTTCTTACGTGCATTTGTTTTCTTCTGTTTTCTCTCGTCCATCGATTATCGGAATGGGCAACTCAGAATCGACCCGCGGGTGGTCTGGCGTGGAGGCGCCAGTCTGTCCTGCGAACTGATTGCAACGGAAGAAGGAACATGGACAACTTGCCGGAGGAGATTGGGCTCCACATCTTGTCTTTCCTCACGCCCAAAGGTAAGTGCGATTTTTTTGTTTTGTTCGGTTTCTGCTGGCTCACCACTTCTTGTGCACAGAGGTGGTCTCCTCGGCCGTGGTCAGCCAACGATGGCGGCAGCTTAGTGCTGACAACCACGGTACTCTTCCCCCGCAGGTGTCGCCTCAACGCGTCACATCTAAATCCACAATAAAAACGGACGCAGTGTGGCGCGGGTTGTACGAGCGGACGTTTCCATCTCTCGCGGGGCGAGTTGTGCGGCGCCACACGAGAGCACGCAAGGCAGAAGGAGAATCAGGTATCACCGAACCGTTTCTCGCCACTTCTGCGTCGCAAACAACTCATGACCTTCTGCACGCACACGCAACTGCCTCAACCTTGCTGGTGATTGCAGGGCACGATCTGGACTGGCGTGGTCAATTCCAGCAATCAAGGCAAACGGAGGCCAACTGGGAGAGTGGCACCTTCAGGCATTCGGCCTTTCATCCCTACGGATTGTACGCGTCCTTGTGATTACTCTTTTGTGTGGTGCAAGGTGAGCTCACTCGCGCTTTGTGGTTTTAGCACGGCCTACAAGAAGACCGTAGGCGGCATGCTCTTCCAATCGGACGAGGACAGGCTGGTGGCGGGCCATTTCAACACAGGCGACGTGGTCGTCTTTGAGAACCCGACCGAGGCGTGCCCCAGGCCCAAGCAACTGCACCTCCTTGAGTACGAGGATCGGTACCAACCCCTGCCGTTCCCCCAACCTCAACCCCACTTTGGTGCGCTCCTGGAGCATGGTCTCATGGGTCTGTACAGGTTGTCAACGCTGCAGTTCTCCGACGGACTGTTAGCCTGCGGACACACGGACGGGGTGGTCAACGTGTGGAATCTGGCGGGTGGCGAACACGTAGTCGCCCTCATTCGCAGCTTCGAGTGGGTCGAGTCACTCCAGTTCAACAGAGCTGGTACATTGCAATTTGATTTTACAATCAGTCTGCAATTGGCTGATAGATAGAATTGTTCGTTGTGTGCACAAAGCCAAGCAACTGGCGGTCGGCTACAGCACGGGCAAGATCGGACTGTGGGACATCGAGCAAGCCAGCGTCGTGGGCCTGCTCAAGGGCCACAAGTGCGTTTTTCTCAGCTGCATGGTATTCTCTTAGGAGTGGTCCCCTCACATACGTATTGCCATACAACATGCAGAGCGAATGTGATGTGCATGCAGCTCTCGCCTGACGGCCGTGTGGCGTTTACCGGTTCCCTCGACTCCAGCATTCGCATCTGGTACACACGAAAGGGCGGGTGATGAGATCAGCTTAGGGCATCGCTTGCAAGCGTACTCACGGTTCGAGGACAGGGACATGCGTACCGCGGCGACTGTGAGCTGCATCAAGGGCGAGCGTGTCGTCAAGTGCCTGAGCGTGGACTTCGACTCCCACCGGTTGGTCCACAATCGAGGCGACCAGGGCTTGTCACTGCTCGACATACGAATGACCCTGTCCAGCGCCGGCCCCGAGGGTGGCGACACCCTAGTCCACGCCCCACCCGTCGTAACGTCGTGGAAGGCACACAGCGGCGCCGTCCTCCGTGTGCAAATGCAAGGCGACCGCATCGTCACCGGCGCGCGCGACAAGACTGCTAAAGGTATACCGTCCATCACGCACCGCTCACTTTCTAGAGAAGAGAGAGTGTCAGCTGATTTGTTCTGATAATGACGCCAGTGTGGGATCTGCGTTCGCCGGCCGAGCCGAGGGCGGTCCTCACGCTACCACACGAGGATTGGGTGACCAGCCTCCAGTTCGACGAGGAGACGCTCAGGTGTGCCTGGGGCGCCGACATCTCGACCTACTTCTTTCGCTCTGCCGAGGCGTGACCTTGCTTGCGGGTCCGCCTCCTTTCACACCCCCACCACCGTGTATTGTATTTATTTCTTTTATTTCTTTTTGACAAACTAATAAATAAATATGGATAACTGCTGGCGTGTTTTTATTATTTTCTTTTTGTGCTTTTTGTTTTTTTCCGGGGTTCGGACCCACGCACGAGAGCGATATCGTGGGTTTGCTTTTTGAATGGTGAATGGGCCAAGAGAGAAGCGGGACTGGGTGGCTTGCAGGCACCGGTGAAGAGCAAAAAGGCCCTCGGGAGCGCTGTCGGCCGACCAACCTCTCGTGGCTGCGCACAGCACCGGTATTGAGGAGGTCTCATCAGCCCCCAGCTGGATATCCGTGCCCAGGCGAAAACTCACCTAGGGGGAGGTAGACCTGGATGGCCTCGCTACCCATTGGTCTCGCTCCTCCTTTTTTACCGGCCTTCTCTCGTTCATCCATTCATTCATCTCAGCGAACACCAACAAACCGCCTACAGCCACACCAACCACAAGAAATGGCTTACATTCCGACCTGGCTCGCCATGGCTCTCGCCGCCGTCGTTGGCATCATGTGCGCCTTTGCCCAGTCGCCGCCCTCTGGCCCGTGCCTCGGCGGGGCCTTCCCCGACGCCGGCAACTGCTGCCCGACGATGATCAACATGATCAACTTCTACCGCGATGCTCGCGGGTGCTACCCGACCCGCGTGGCCAACAACCAGGTCCTCTACGCCGACGTCGGAGGGTACATGCGTTGAGCCGCCACACCCATTCCACACACATTGCTCAACTTTACGGTTGCTGACCTCTGTTGTGTCCGCATCGATCAGGTGCTTCCCCAACGCGCAGGGCACGTACAGGCCGGCGGGCGCCACTTGCCCCCCTGGCCAGCAGTGCTCGCCCACGTGTCTGCCCACCGTCGTCGCCACTCCTCAGCCCACTCGCCGTACCAACCAACACCTCAGCTCAGCCTCGCTCCCCCACCAACCCTTCTCACCAAATCGTGATGCACCACGACACAAACAACAACACAACAGCGGCGTGCCCGGCCAACGCGCAGAGGGATCCGGCGGGCTGCTGCCCGCGTGCCTTTGGCATGTCGCTGTTCTACCGCGACGTGCGCGGGTGCTACCCGATCGCCACCAATGTGGGCGTGCTCTACGCCGACGCGAGCGGATGTTACCCCAACGAGGCCGGCGTGTACAACCCGGCCGGCATGGCTTGTCCCGCTGGTCGCCAGTGCGTCCCTGCCTGCGACTAATGCGCTCGCCGAGAACGGTAGTGCCACACGCCCTTCTCTCGCGTGTGGCCTCAGCTCTCTGTGCAAGATGGGCAAGCTCGGCTCTCTTCACACCTTTGCTGCATTCTGATTTGTTGTTTTTTACACCATAAAACTTCACATGCCAATCACGCATCCAGAGCAAGCCCGTTCTCAGCGGCCCAGGCCAGCACCCTTTGGCGCCGCCTGGTCAGCCGAATGGTGTCGGCGCGCCATGGACAGCCGTTGGCGCGAGCCCACTTCACCACCTCCAGGTGCCCTTTCAGCGCAGCGTGGGTA